TCAAGCCGGGCTTGGTGACTCAGCCTGTAATCCCGCACCTTGGGAGGCTGAGGTGAGTGGATTGCCTGAGCCCACGGGTTTGAGACCCGCCTGGGCAACGTGACAAGACCTCATTTCTACAATAAAATAAAAAACTAGCCGGGCGTGGTAGCACGCACCTGTAGTTTCAGCTACTTGGAAGGCTGAGGCAGAAGGATCACCGGAGCCCAGCAGGTCGAAGCTGCGGTGGCCGGGAGCAGCCACTGCACTCCAGTCTGGGCGACAGAGTGAGACTCCAACTCAAAAAAAAAAAAACAAAAACCTCTCGACTAACTAGGCATAGAAGAACCATATCTTAAAATAATAAAGACCATATATGACAAACTCATAGCTAATATTACAAGAGTTTTGAACACCACTGTCAGTTTAAACTAGCAACCTTGGGTTCTTGTCCCACAACCAAGAAGATTAAGGAACATGGACACCAAAAGGAAGAGTGCAAGGAGTTAAGTAATAAAGCTCTCTAGAAAAAGAGAGGAGGCCCAAAATGGGTTATTCTCAGTGTTAGGAGTTTTTGTTGTGGTTTCTATCTTATCTTTTTTTTTTGAGTTGGAGTCTCACTCTGTTGCCCAGACTGGAGTGCAGTGGCTGCTCCCGGCCACTGCAGCCTCGACCAGCTGGGCTCTGGCGATCCTTCCGCCTCAGCCTTCCAAGTAGCTGGAACTACAGGCGCACGCTACCACGCCCGGCTCATTTTTGACTTATTGTAGAGATGAGGTCTCGCCAAGTTGCCCAGGCGGGTCTCGAACCCGCGGGCTCAGGCAATTCACTCACCTCAGCCTCCCAAGGCACGGGATTACAGGCTGAGCCACCGAGCCCTATCTTATCTTTTCTGAGAGTGTTCCTCTCATTTACATCTCATCCACTCACTACTTCCTGAGATTCAATTCTTATTGTGCATGCGGGTCCTTGACAAAAATTACTCCATCTTGAATATTACCCACAAGTACCACAGAAAAGCCCACTCAGGAGGGGTAAAACCGCAATGCAATTGCTATGTTAATGATATTATAATAAACCAAGGTCAAGTTAAGACATTTACTTAAGCTACTGTGCCTGTGTTTAAGCAGCAAAAAGTCTTTTAGCAGTATATCTTGGGTTGACAGAATGTTCTCAACCACACTAACCACATTTTCAACCAACAATTATATAATGGAGGTGGTGCAGGGGGCATTCCTACAGGTGTTAATTCTCCTCAAGACCCTCCCTCTCTGTTTGCCTAACCAGCTTATTAACATCAAATGGATGCTCATTTCACCACTCCTATTAAACATAGTACGGGAGTCCTAAACAGAGAAGTCAGGCAAGAAAAAGAAATCAAAGGCATCCAAATTAGAAAACAGGAAGTCAAATTGTACCCTCATTGCAGACACCATCATCTTACATCTAAAAAAACGAAACAAACAAACAAAAAAACCCAAAAGGCCTGGGGTGGCAGCTCACACTTGCAATCCTAGCACTTTGGGAAGTAGAGGCAAGAGGATTGCTTGAGTGTAGGAGTTCGAGACCAGCCTGGGCAACATAGCAAGGCCCTGCCTCAACAAAAAGCCAAAAAATTAGCCGGACAGGTGGTTTGCACCTGTAGTCCCAGCTACTCAGGAGGCTAAGGTGGGAGGACTGCTTAAGCCCAGCAGGTCGAGGCTGTAGTGGCCTTGATCATGCCACTGCACTCCAGACTGGGTGACAGAGTGAGACTCTGACTCAAAAACTAAAAAATAAAAAATAAAAATATAAAAACAAAAGACTCTACCAAAAAACTCTTATTAACTGGGCGTGGTGGTGCATTCCTGTAGTTCCAGACTCTTGGAAGGCTGAGGTGGAAGGATGACCTGAACCCAGCAGGTCGAGGCTGCGGTGGTCATGAGCATGCCACTGCACTCCAGCCTAGACAACAGAGTGAGACTCCAACTCAAAAAACAAAACAAAACAAAAAATTCTAAAAGTTGATAAATTCAGTAAAGTTGCAGAATATAAAATCAACATATAAAAATCAGTAGTAGCCGGGCTCGGTGGCTCAGCCTGTAATCCCACGCCTTTGGGAGGCTGAGGTGAGTGGATTGCCTGAGCCCGCGGGTTCGAGACCAGCCCGGGCAGTGAGACCTCATCTCTACAATAAATCAAAAAATCAGCCGGGCGTGGTAGCGCATGCCTGTAATTCTGGCTACTCGGAAGGTTGAGGCGGAAGGATAGCCGGAGCCCAGCAGGTCGAGGCTGCGGTGGCCGGGAGCAGCCACTGCACTCCAGTCTGGGCGACAGAGTGAGACTCCAACTCAAAAAAAAAAAAAATCAATAATGAAATAGCCAAAAAAAGATATTAATAAGGCAATTCCATTACAATAGCTACAAAAAAAAAACAACAAAACAACAACTAAGGATAAACTTAATCAATATGCTTAAATATTTCTACAAGGAAAACTACAAAATATTTATTGAAGAAACTGACTCGTTCAACTCTATAATCCCAGCACTTTGGGAGACTGAGATGAGAGGATTGCCTGAGCCTACAGGTTGGAGATCAGTCTGGACAACTTGGTGAGACCTCATCACTACAATAAATCAAAAAATTAGCCAAGTGTGGTGGCACGTGCCTATAGTTCCAGTTACTTGGAAGGCTGAAGCAGAAGGATCGCCTGAGCCCAGCAGGTCGAGGCTGCAGTGGCCATGAGTGTGCCACTGCACTCCAGCCTGGGCAACAGAGTAAGACTCCAACTCAAAAAAAAGGAAAGAAAAGAAAAAGAAATTGACTAATGGAAAGACATCCCATGTTCATGAAACAGAAGAATTCATATCATTAAATGACCACACTACCCAAACTAATCTACAGACTCAATGCAATTTCTATCAAAATAGAATGTTGTTTTTCACAGAAACAGAAAAAAATTCTAAAATTTGTTTTTTGGGAACAAAAAAGATCCCAAATAGCCAAAGAAATTCTGAGCAAAAAACAAAAAAAAAAACAAAAAAAACAAACCACAAAGCTGGAGACATCATATTACCTAACTTCAAAACATATTACAAGTCTATAGTAACTAAAACATGGTATTGGTATAAAAACAGATACATAGAATGATGGGACAGAATGGAGAATCAGAAATAAATCTAGCCGGGCTCGGTGGCTCAGCCTGTAATCCCTCACCTTTGGGAGGCTGAGGTGAATGGATTGCCTGAGCCCGTGGGTTCGAGACCCGCCTGGGCAGCAAGACCTCATCTCTACAATAAATCAAAAAATCAGCCGGGCGTGGTAGCGCATGCCTGTAATTCTGGCTACTTGGAAGACTGAGGCGGAAGGATCGCCGGAGCCCAGCAGGTCGAAGCTGCGGTGGCCAGGAGCGGCCACTGCACTCCAGTCTGGGCGACAGAATGAGACTCCAATTTAAAAAAAAAAAAAAAAATGTTAAACACTGTAGGTAATGGATACTCCAGTTATCTTGACTTGATCATCCCACTTGATCATTACACATTCTTTGTAACAGACAAATGTACCCCATAAATATGCAAATTATTATTTATTAATAAGAGAGGGAAAATGCAGATGGACATGGTGGTCCATGCACTTTGGGAGGTAGAGGTGAGGGTTGTTTGAACCCATGGGTTAGAGACCAGCCTGGTCAACTTGGTGAGACATCGTCTCTATGATAAATCAAGAAATTAGCCTGGTGTGGTGGCACATATCTGTTCCAGTTACTTGGAAGGCTGAGGTGGAAGGATGGATCGCCTGAGCCCAGCAGGTTGAGGCTACAGAGACCGTGAGCATGCCCCTGCACTCCTGCCTGGGTGACAGAGTGAGACTCCACTCAAAAAAAAGACGGAAAAGGTTGTGGGGCTTGGGGAAGCCAAGCACATGATGAAATGTTAGGAAATGTTTGGCTTAGGTCTGCAATCACGAGGATTGTGGAATGTCAGAGGAGATACAAACAAAGGAAATAAAACTAGGGAAAACATCAAGTCTCCCCTCTGTTCATCCTTTTGAGGTCAGAGCGAAAATAAAATAATGTAAAATAAGTAAAATAAAATAAGGAAATTAGGTCCCAGCCATTATTCAAGGACATTCCATGCATTCTCTCATTCCATCCTCCCAACACCACTATGAATCAGTAGTAGAATTACCCTCTGTGGGGTAAATGCAGGATATGTGCCGGCTCCCCCTCCCCTGCTGCTAACCATCTTCCAACTGGAAGGATGGCCCCTGGCCAAGGCCAGTCTCTGGGCCCATAGAAATGCCCTTGAAGATATGCATATCTGCAAACTCAGGACAGTTTCTGAGAGAAAACATCTTTGTTTCTTCTTTTTGGCACATGATGCTTGCTCCCTTTCCCACGCTGGGGTTATATAATCTCTCCCCCATGCCTATTGGGGTGCAGGAAGCCTTATACCACCACCATCGGTTCCATCCCATTAAGTAATTATAAACCCATATCTTTACCAACCTATCCTCCAGGTGATTTATTCAGAATAGGTAAGTAAACATTATACGAATGCCTGTCTGATTTGGGGCTACTGCAATACACACTCAATTCGCTAAACGAAAGCAAAGACACTCAGTAACTTTCCCCAGAGTTTCATGGCATACAAATGGCATCAGAGCCCATACTTCTGATCATGCATTCATCCATTCAACAACTGTTTTTGGAATGTTCCACACCACGCAAATGTGCAATGTTACTGCAAGGACTGGAGAGTCAGCAGTGAATAAAACAGACAGATGCCCTGCCCTGCAGAGATTAGATAACCACTCCTTAACGTGGCCTACAAGTCATATTGGTGATAAGGATGGTCAGAGCAAGGACAGGCTGCTTTGTAGATGTGTCCTTGTCCTAGTTGTGCTTCCTTGATGTCATGGATGCATTCCACAAAGAATACATTTCACAAGTTTCTGACTCACTGCAGAGCCAGTTAGGACTGGGCTTGGCTCTTACTCAGGATTCATTTCCCTGCAAAGAGTCTTGACAGTTTCACACTCTAGTTTCACTTTCCCTTCTGTTACATCAGCCACAGAGAAGCTAACAAAAAAGAACCAGATGCTGGGATATATATAGGTCTCTATAGCATTCATAGGCAGCAGAAGAGGAAGATTTCTGAAGAGCACAGCAGCCTGAACCGCAGCCCTTCAGAACGGCCGAGAATTGCACAACCATGAGGTAAATGTTGACCTTTTCTGGAATGTATCTCCCTCTCTGATCTCCATTTTCTGATCATACTGCAAATATCAGTCTTGTCAAATGCAGATCCTAGGCAGCCATGCTCCTAAGAAAAGCCAGTTGTATTTAATAGCCTCACTACAAGGCTGTAAATCTGTTTTACTGATGCTGGCCTGTTTCCTCCTAAGCTATTTTCTGCTTCACTCTTACCCATCAGGAGCATAAGTTTCACAAGTCTGAGTCCAGAAAGCAAGTATCTGGCACCAGCCTCTCTGATTTACCGGTGAAAATGAAAACCCAAGGTCAAGCTTCCTAAGGGCATCTCCAGAACTGCTTGCCAGGGAAGCTGAGAGCTGAGAAGGAGGGAAGTAGAGAGACAGATGTTTAATCAGGAGGGTACTTCACTTAAAGATGCGTCTGGGTGAATTACTCTCCTAAACTCTCCCTCTTTTGTTTTTTTATTCAAAAGAATTAAGTAGGGGGCTTTAAATACATATATATATATATATATATTATTATTATTATTATCTTTTCTGAAAATATTATTAAAGATATACTTAGAATAACAGCCCCACTGCCTGCTAAGGTGAATTTTACTTGTAAAATAGTCATTCATCTCAGATTTGCATGAGGGCCGGTAAACTGACAGAAATATTTTCACCCCAAATTTCTGCTGATTGGCTAGAGTTCTCCTATCTGAGTATGAATTGGAAGTGGAGTGGTTGGAGAAAATAGTCCTCCCCTCTAGCACCCTCTGACACCCCAAAAACGTGAGATTACCCTGGAGAAGGGTATGTTAGCTCATTGGCTAGGAAGGGAGCTTTCTGTTTTCTACAGTTTGAGGGTGTGGGTGGCCGGACCTGGTTTCCTAAGCCTTATTCCTGGGAATTCTGGAATCTGGAAATACCAACCTCTTCCTTCCTATAAAATTTGTTGCCCTCCTGCTGTAAGGCTCCTAATCTCTCCTCTTTAAATGATTTTTTTCTCATGCTAGTCTGAATGCCTGCCTGAATTTTTTTTAAAAAATGATTTGAGATATTTACAGATTTCTGTTTCTATAGTCACTCAGAATCTATAAAGCTTGTGTTCCTTTTTCTTAGAATTTTGGCATAGTCTTATCTTAGAGTCTTTCCCATAATACAGACCCACCAATCCCTCTTCTTACTTTCCTGGATACTTTAGCAATGAGACTCTCACGAAGCATGTTCCCTGCTCTCTAAGACAGTGGTTCTCAGCCTTCAGCATGCTTAAGAATCACCTGGAGAGCTTGTTAAAGACAGATTCCTGGACTCAACTCCCCAGAGATTCTGATTTCATAGGTCTGGGTTGGAGTCTGAGGATGTGCATTTCTATCAGGCTCCTCAGTGATTCTGACACTGTTCTGAGATGCTGTGGTGATGGCATTCGTTCTGAGTCTGGTGAATCGTGTCACTGTGGCTTTCATCCAGATGAGAAGCAGGGGAAGAAAATGTTGTGTAAACAGTTGGAACTTCTGTAGATATCAGGTGCATAAATTTCACAAGGCTGAGCCAAGAAAGTAAGTATCTGAGACCTGCGTCGCTGACTTACAAATGGAAATAAAAATCCAAGATCAAGCAGTGAAGTCGGATGCCTTTTAAAGGGCTTCTCGCCGGGTTCGGTGGCTCAGCCTGTAATCCCAGTGCTCTGGGAGGCCGAGGTGAGTGGATTGCCTGAGCCCGCGGGTTCGAGACTCACCTGGGCAACTTGGTGAGACCTCATCTCTACAATAAGTCAAAAATTAGCCGGGTGTGGTAGCGCGCGCCTGTAGTTCCAGTTACTTGGAAGGCTGAGGCAGAAGGATCGCCGGAGCCCAGCAGGTTGAGGCTGCGGTGGCCAGGAGCGGCCACTGCACTCCAGTCTGGGTGACAGAGTGACACTCCAACTCAAAAAAGGGGGGGGAGGGGCTGCTCAAAGGAATTTTACATAAGTGTATATATGAAATGGCTCTATCCTGCAAATGCACAATTGACTATATGTTTCATAGGGTTGAACTAATATGTCTTATAGAGTTGAGCTAATCTCAACTCTAATTACTCTGCTTCTTTTATAAAATTAGAAAAGCACTAAGGAGCTCATATGCTAAGAGAATTTTCCTCTAACCTCACTGAGAAGGAAAATAGAGCAGATTGGACAAAAACTTCAAAGGGAGGCTGCTGTCATTAGGATTCTGCATATTAAGCCAGGGACTTCCCTGGACTTCCTCTTCTGGAGTATATTCCTAGGCTCAATCAGCTTTTTGCTAAAACCTGCCTGGGGCTTTGAAAATAAGGAAGGTCCTATTTTTCCTCCTATTTTTTTGTTTGTTCAGTTTGGGGTAGTTAAGTCTCCATTTGTTCCAAGAAACAGAGGTGAGCAGGAATTGATTTAAAGTTTTTAAGAGTGCCTCACAGGACCCAGGGGAAGGACTATAGCAACTCCAAGAGGATAAGAACAGGACACTAGGGTGCATCGAGGACCCAGACCATGTGTCCTCTCCATGGACACCTGGGTCATGCTCTCTGCATTATTTATTATAGAATGTGATGAGTCCTATGGAACACGGTCACCATCAGACACCCAGTGTGTGCAGCACTTTTCCTAACACGTAAAGACTTGCTCCCTCTCAGTTTCATTTCCAGCTTCCACTTGAGTTTGGGTGTTCACCTGTGGTCCCAATCAAAATGGGAGGGGAATGGTGAGATAAAAAGTGAAAGAGAGGGGCAGGTAGAAAGGGGGAGGGAATATAGACATATTTCAGAGGCGATCCTTGCCACATTGCATGGCTTTTCAGATATCTATGATTGTATAAGAACTCATGATATTTTGAAATATAGTTTGTGACTTATATATACCATGAAAAAGTTTGTGAGAAAAAGGAACGCTACAGGGACTTTAATACATAGACAATGCTGAGAAACAATTTCGGACATGGAATGTTACTTATCTCCAAAGTTATTCAGAGTACAGGTTTTTGTTCACTTGTCTGATTGCTGATTTTTGTTTGGTTAGTGTTTGTTGTGGTTTATTTCTTTATTTTGAGGACTAACACTAAAGGGAATGAAAATCTTTCCAGGAGAGTTGTTTTTGTTTTTTGTTTTTTGTTTTTTGTTTTTTTTGAGTCGGAGTCTCACTCTGGCGCCCAGGCTGGAGTGCAGTGGCATGCTCACAGCCACTGTGATCCCGACCTGCTGGGCTCAGGCAATCCTTCCACCTCAGCCTTTCATGCCCGGCTTATTATTTTATTTGTTATTTTTTTATTTATTGTAGAGACGAGATCCTGCCATGTTGCTCAGGCTGGTCTTGAACCCCTGAGCTCAGCAATCCTCTCGCGTTGGCCTCCCAAAGTGCTGGGATTACAGGCTTGAGGCACTGTGGCCAGCACTCCAGGAGAGTTGTAAGGGCACCCTAAAGGAAAAAGGCTCTTCCCATAAGAAAAGGAGCTCGCTGCTTTGTGAGCCTTCCCTGTAGTTGTACTTCTTACCCCTATGTAAAAAGCAAAACCCTAAAGAGAAAAACAAAATCAAAAGCAAATTAAAACAACAAATGCATATCTATAGATCAACTCAATGAGTCATGTTAAGAACAGAAATCACCAAAGAAGTAGAGGTATTATAACAGAGGTCAGGCGTGGCTGCTAGACACTTGAAAGAACACGAGGGTTGGTATAAGGAAAACAGGCTTATTCAACACCCAGCAACCTGATGAGATGGTGGATTAGTGTCTCAAAAATCATCTCAAGTCAGTACAAATTTTAGGCTCTTTTTATGTTACGGGCAGGGAAAAGAGGGAGGGAGTTGGGAAGCTTCTTTGTCCTTGGTCAGGTCACAATGTTCCTTTAAAACTTCAACAAAACATAATTAGTGTCTATACTCTCCTTTTTTCCAGAGTTAGTCTCAATAGCTGCATATTTGTTGTTCCTATGTTATCTTGTCTGTGTTTCAAAATTATTCTATCCTACATGCAAGCATGAACAGAGGCCAGAGCCTATTCCCCAGTCTAAAATGAGTTAGTTATGTCAGTCTCTTGCCATATCACTGTTACAGTATTGGGGGGTGGGATACAAAAAGATTGCACTTTATTCCAAAATAAATGTTTACGGCACTGCTCACTTATAAAATAATGGTAATAAAGTTATTTTGGAGCCGGGCTCGGTGGCTCAGCCTGTAATCCCGCGCCTTTAGGAGGCTGAGGTGAGTGGATTGCCTGAGCCCGCAGGTTCAAGACCCGCCTGGACAGACGAGACTTCATCTCTACAATAAAAAAAAATCAGCCGGGTGTGATAGTGCGCGCCTGTAGTTCCAGCTACTTGGAAGGCTGAGGGGGAAGGATCGCCGGAGCCCAGCAAGTCGAGGCTGCGGTGGCCGGGAATGGCCACTGCACTCCAGTCTAGGCGGCACAGGGAGACTCCAACTCAAAAAAAAAAAAAAGATGAGATAAATTAGACAGGAAATAGAAATTACTAAAAAAAAATTAGAAGACAAATGAAGGAGAACTAAAGAATGAAGAATATCAAAGATAAGGCCAGGTGCAGTGGCTCACACATGTAATCCCAGCACTTTGGAGGATTACTTGAGCCCAGGAGTTCAAGACCAGCCTGGACAACATAGTGAGACCTCGTCTCAAAAAACAAACAAACAAAAAGAACAGAAACAGTTTTTTAAAAAATACCCAAAATAAAATGAAGTTGCATTTCAGAGGGATAGCAAAGAAATTAAAATCAGTATGGCAAAACATCAAAAGAATAAAAAATTATAAAGCTAAAATTTTCAAAGGACAAAAGGGAAGCTGGGTAAGAATGAAGAACAGAAACAAAAAGCAATAAAATAAACCTCTTAAATACCACATAAATAAAACCAAACTCCCGCAGAGGCTCTCAAAAGTAGAGGGCTGAGCTACCTAACAAAAACTGCCATATTCATGGAAACTTTTTCTCAGACAGAGATCAGCCCACTGTTCTTGCCTAATTCTTCTGCTTCCTGCAATCCTCAAATTCCTGCTACCCCATGCAAGAATTTACAGTATGCCAAAGCATATTCTATAGAGAGAAAAAAAGGAGAGTTTGCTGTTTGATTTGTGTTAACACCCTTTAAGAGGAGGAGAATTGTATTTGCCATGCTCCTATTTCTTGACAGATAAATCCATGTCTCAAAGTGTCCATCTTTCTGTTTTTCCCTACAGCGAGACCACCAAGGAGTCCTTGGAGAGCAGCTTACGGCAACTAAAATGCCATTTCACCTGGAACTTGGAAGAGGGAGAAATTTCCTTAGATGACTTTGAGGACAAAGTGTTTTACCGGACTGAGTTTCAGAACAGTGAATTCAAAGCCACAATGCGCAACATACTGGCCTATGTAAAGCACCGCAGAGGCCAAAACGAGGCAGCCCTGGAATGCTTACAGCAAGCTGAAGCATTAATCCAACAAGAGCACACTGGCCAGGCAGAAATCAGAAGTCTGGTTACCTGGGGAAACTATGCCTGGATTTACTACCACATGGGCCGACTGTCAGAAGCCCAGATTTATGTAGACAAGGTAAAATGTGTCTGCAAGAAGTTCTCCAGTCCCTATAGAATTGAGAGTCCTGAGCTTGACTGTGAGGAAGGGTGGACACGGTTAAAGTGTGGAGGAAAGCAAAATGAAAGAGCAAAGGTATGTTTTGAGAAGGCTCTGGAAAAGAACCCAAAGAACCCAGAATTCACCTCTGGACTGGCAATAGCGAGCTACCGTCTAGATACCTGGCCGCCATCTCAGAACCCCGTTGACCCTCTGAAGCAAGCCATTAGGCTGAATCCTGACAACCAGTATGTGAAAGTCCTCCTGGCTCTGAAACTTCATAAGATGGATAAAGATGATGAAGGAGAAAGGCTAGTTGAAGAGGCCTTGGAGAAAGCCCCAGACACAATCGATGTACTTCGCAGTGCTGCAAAGCTATATCGAAGAAAAAATGATCCAGACAAAGCCATCGAACTGCTTAGAAAAGCTTTGGGATACATGCCAAACAATGCCTACCTACATTGCCAAATTGGGTGCTGCTATAGGGCAAAGGTTCTCAAGGAAATGAATATGAGAGAGAATGAAATGTATGGGAAAAGAAAGAAGTTACTGGAACTTATAGAACAAGCTGTGGCTCATTTAAAGATAGCCGATGAGACCAATGATAATCTCTTCCGCGTCTGTTCCTTTCTTGCCACCCTCCATGCTCTAGCAGACCAGCATGAAGAAGCAGAGTATTACTTCCAAAAGGAATTCACCAAAGAGCTTGCTCCAGTGGAGAAGCAAGTTCTCCATCTGCGGTATGGCAACTTTCAGCTGTTTCAAATGAAGTGTGAGGACAAGGCCATCCACCATTTCCTAGAGGGTGTAAAAATAGACCAGAAATCAAGGGAGAGAGAAAAGATGAAAAACAAACTGCAAAGAATTGCCAAAAGGCGACTTTCTAGAAATGGAGCAGATTCTGAGGCTTTGTGTCTCTTGGCATTTCTTCAGGAGCTGAATGAAGAAATGCAATAGCAGATGAAGATGCTGAGAGGGGTTTGGACTCTAAAAGTCTCATTCTATCAGCATCATTAGCTGAGGCAATTAATGAGGACTAGAGATATGGTGCCCAAGGGCTACTGCGGAAAGAGAGCGAAAAGCCCTCCAGCAAGTTGGTATTCAAAACGTGTAACAAGTGGTGTGGTGTAAACACTTAAGACACTGGTCATGTTCCTGGATCAGGATTATGGGAGAACACCGCTGTGTCAGGTGTTAATACCGGAATTGATGGATCAAGGGAAAGCCCATGGGGTTTCTAGAAAAGGAACCAGATTGGATGCAGGGGAGGGGCAGATCCGAAGGCTTTTTGATGAAGTTATTTTCTAGTTGACTTCTTGAGTGCAGTTTGTATTGTCACATATTCTTGGTCACCTTTAGTGGGGTGGTGCCTTGGGCTTGTTTCTATGTTTGTATAAAGCAGACACATTCCTCACATGTTATATTGAGATTTATCTTCACAATTTTTTTTCATCTGTGGAGTCATTTTAGATCCCCTAGAGGTTGGTGCTCCGTATACATTAATGTGTTGTGTCTATGAAAAGACTGGAGAACTCACGTCTAAATAGGGCTCGGTATTCCCCCTTTCTCACATCTCCTTTTCCCAGCCAATCCTCAATCTGGAGGGTCCTACTTACACAGCATGAGTTCGATTGTCCAGTTAAATGAGGTGGCAACATAGTTTGAGAAAAGAGAGCACAGGTGAAATCTAGAAGGGACACATCTAGGAGAAGCAATGGGGTCAGACAGTCACAGTGCAAGTCTTTCAGGAGGTATGTGGAGAGATCATACCTCTTCTCTGCCCTCCCTGTAATCATCATACAGCATGGGAAGAATGAAATGAGATTCTGTACAATACATTAGAAAACAACACAGTACGTTTCTTTAAAACCAGTATAAAAATATATATGTCTCCCCAGTAGGGCTAAGGATAAAGAGAAAAATAAAGACATACTGGTTTATCTTTGTAGGTTATAATCAAATGGAGAAATGTTCACTTTTATAGCCACTATTAGGGAATATTTTTGTGTGTAAGATGAAGAACTGACTGTTCAAAATGCTTTGATGAACCCAGATTTGAGATGATGAAAAAGCTGCAGAATGGGAGAATAACTTGGTGACTATGGGCCTAATGGAAGATCTTGGGAAATGTTGTTGGTAATGGATGGTAGGTTTTATTACCCCTTTAGATATGTTGTATATTGGACAATATAAACATTTCTTTTAACTCTGGAAATCTTCAGGGAAATCACAAAATTTGTGGTGCCCTTGAGGCAGTTGGGATTTTCTAAATAAATATGGAATGGTCTAGACATCAAGGTTGGTGAGAACCAAAATAGAGTCAGCTGACCCAGCCTGAGACCAGCAGCCAACCTCAGGATTGGAAAATGTTTGCCTTTTGGAATTAGTTTGAATTGAAGTTACATTAACATTAACAATTAAAACATTAACAATTTAAGGTTTTTAAAAATTAATAGTTCTAACTACTGTAATGACTTTCATGTTATTTTCTATATTAAAAATATTGTGTGCATTTGAGGACATCCATGTGTACGGCTTGAATTCCTGAAAAAAGTCATAGATTTTATTAATAAATAACTTAGATATGATGGACCATAAAGCAGTGTTCTGTTTTATCTGAAATTTAGTGCTGTACTTTAAGTCTTGATGTTACACAGGTATAAACTGGATACAAATTGCCTACCTAGACCAATCTAACATCATAACCACTAAATAGAACAAAACTTTTTTTTTTTTCTGAGTTGGATTCTCACTCTGTCACCCAGGCAGGAGTGCAGTAGCACACTCACGGTCACCCCAGAATCGACTTGCTGGACTCTGGTGATCCTTCTGCCTCAGCCTTCCAAGTAGCCAGAACTACAGGCACACACCACCATGGCTGGCTAATTTCTTATTTATTGTAGAAAGATGAGGTCTCGCCAAGTGGCCCAGGCTGGTCTCGAACCCACGGGCTCAGGCAATCCACTCACCTCCGTCTCTCAAAGTGCTAGGATTACAGGCTGAGCCACTGAGCCCAGCCAAAACAAAACTTTTTTTCTAGGGTCTTAAGAGTCCAGGGCTTTAGGTTACACCTGATACTTGGCACCTGATACCATTCAGTCATGTGCACACACACATCCTGCTCCTAACTTGACAGCAGGTGGACTGCTGCCCCTTTCTGTCGTAAATGTTATACTTTCCAGTCCCTGAGCATTTTTCATAAAACTACAAGAAAGGGATTGGCAGTAGCAGGATACTGCCAGGGTGGTTTGGGGTGGGGCACAACAACAATAAGGGTACCTAGCCAGGCTCGGTGGCTCAGCCTGTAATCCATGCCTTTGGGAGGCTGAGGTGAGTGGATTGCCTGAGCCCGCGGGTTCGAGACCCACCTGAGCAGCGAGACCTCATTTCTACAATAAATCAAAAAAAGCAGCTGGGCGTGGTAGTGCATGCCTGTAATTCTGGCTACTTGGAAGGCTGAGGTGGAAGGGATCGCCGGAGCCCAGCAGGTCGAGGCTGCGGTGACCAGGAGCGGCCACTGCGCTCCAGTCTGGGCGACAGAGTGAGACTCCAACTCAAAAATAAATAAATAAATAAAAATAAGGGTACCTGATCTCAAGCCAGGCAAAGTGGGAACCAAAGGGAGGCCCAAACTTTACCTGTACGATGACCACTTATATACCTAATCCTAAACTGTACCCCACATCTTTAAAATAAAATAAAATAATTTTTTAGAAATCTTATTCTTTCATCACATTCTGACCTCTATCCTGAGAAATAAAGAAGCATCATTGATTCTCTTATATCCCATTCTGGAGATAATCCAAATGCATGTTGGAGATTTTTCCCTATCACATAAAGAATAGAAAGAAGCAGCTTGGATGGATTCAGAGTCGATCATACGAAGTGACCTATCACAGAAACAAAGAACAGAGTACCATATGTTCTCATTCATAAGCAGACCCTGAACAACTATCAAAATACTATAAGAAAGGGATTGGCAGTAGCGGGAAACTGCCAAGGGAAGGGGGTGGGATTGGCAGTTGAGGGAAACTGCTAGTGGAGGGAGGGGCACACCTCATCAACAAGGGTACCTGCATAATCAACGTTTGTATACCTAACCCTGAATTGTACCCCACATCTTTAAAATAAATAAATAAGTAAAAATTTAAAAAAGAATAGGAAGAATAAGAAGCCCTGAAATCTCCCTTATTTTCCAAGAGGCCTCTGGTGGAAAATGCAAATCATTTTCCACCAGATGCTAGGATAAACTCATTTCATTGGACCAATTGGATAAGTACTTTTCAGGGGAAAGTCCAGCTCACTGCCTGAGTGGCTTATTATGGCATCTGATGCCTAGGGAGGAAACCACATGTGTTCTGAGCAGAAAGTAAAATGAGCAGGTGTGCTAACCTTGAGAGAAGTCCACTGGCACTTGTGTGTGCTAAGGCAGGTATAACAGGTAGATGAATCTTGTCTTTATACGTCATGCCACCAAACCCTTGCTGAATCAGGTCTCTGAGAGGGAAAAAGGCGAAAAGGGTTAGAGAAGGGATGCAAGAATATTATACTTAATATTTACTTGAAGACTTACATTTAACAGATGACTGGAAAACAATAAATTATGGATGTGGATCCTGTTTCCTGAATTCTCACTATCCAGAGATAGCAAATGGAGTCATATTAATTGGGCTTGACTTGTGATTCCCTACCTCTTAACCACATTTTCTAGTGGTTAGGAAAACATGGTTAAATTTAACTGCCCTCACCTAATGTAACAAGCCGCCAGAAAGTGTCCCCTAGGTGCTGATGAACACATCTATCAAGTTTATCAGATCATATCGGCTATTTGTGTTGCGCCAGCACCATACCCATAGATCTCAATTGCCCACAAAACTGCCTTCAAAATATCTCACTATTCTCTGTATTTGAGAGTACTAATATCCCTGTCAAAGATATTCTCAAGTGGGTTAATGCCAGTGAAGGAATGAGGAGAATTTCTCTCATCTCTCTCTCAGCCTCAGACTCCTCAGTGAGAAAGATTAATCAGCTTCTGCTTTTTACCTCATTTTCCCATAGAACTCAGACACAATCTGGGGACAGTGGACTTTGAGCCGTGTTCCACTTTTATCTTGCTTCCCACCCATGCCGATGGACACACAGTAGATGTCAACCAGTGCATCTGAAAGCCTGAAAAGGTTAGAATCCTGATTGTAACACAAATAAACCTCGTGTGTCATCAACCTTGGACGCTACTTGGATGTTAACCTTGGACGCAACCTTGGATGCTAACCTGAGGAGGGTTCCAACCAGAGACCATAGATTCCTGTTTCCTCCCTTTCTCCTCCACTTCTTCCATCATCTATTTTAGGGAAGGGACATGGACTAATGTGTAAGGAAATTTCCTCATGATTTGGAGTGCAGCTGCCTCACTGCTAGTTATCTACACCTTTTAGGGAGGCTGCAAAGAGGATAATTGACTAAAATCCACAGGGGTAGCTAAGTGTATGCAGCTGTAAGACAGGCGTTCTTGGCTCTTCACGGGGCCTCCCTTCTGCTGCTTCAGAAACTGGACTTCAGACTAGAGAAAAGACCAGATGCAGGACTTGTCGGAAGCTTGTGGAACCAAATCCCACAGTTCTGCTTCTCTTCTTTGGCATTCGGCTGCTGTTGAGAAGGAGGCTACCAGCCGAGTGCTGTGGCTCAACCTATAATCCCAGCACTTTTGGGAGGCCGAGGCAAGAGGATTGCCTGAGCCCGGGGATTCAAGACTAGCCTGGGCAACTTGGTGAGACCTCGTCTCTACAATAAATCAAAAAATAAGCCAGGCGTGGTGGCATGCATCTGTACTTCCAGCCACTTGGAAGGCTGAGGCGGAAGGATCAACTGAGCCCAGCAGGTCAAGGTTGTGGAGGCCATGAGCATGCCACTGCACTCCAGCCTGGGCAATAAGAGTGAGATTCCAACTCAAAAAAGAAAAAAGAGGAGGCTACCAAATCAGGGTCTTGGTTTATGTCTCACCTGTTTTGGAAACAAAATGGGTTATCTGGGTCCTAATTGTGTTATTTCTGAATTGGATAAAATATAAAAATATATAGTAAATTCCACTAAACCTGGAAATTCCTGAGACATCTACTAGAATCCTGGAAATTGCCCCCAATGTGTTAATACACATATAATCTAATGAAAATATTTGGAAAGTCTGTTACCTTTCCAGCACCCTAGATATTCCAAAGAAATAAGTTGACTTATATGTTGTGCTTTTCTTTTCTTTCTTTCTTTCTTTTTTTTTGAGTCAAGGTCTCATTCTGTTGCCCAAGTTGTAGTGCAGTGGCATGATCATGGCTCACCACAGCCTCTACCTCCTGGACTCAGGCAATCCTTCCACCTCAGGATCCTGAGTAGCTGGGACTACAGGTGTGCACCACCATGCCTGACTAATTTTTTTTATTTTTTGTTTTTGTAGAGATAAGGTCTCACTACATTGCCCAGGCTGAACTCAAGCAATCCTCCCACCTCAGGCTTCCAAGTACCTAGAACTACAGGGACGCACCACCATGCCCTGCCTACTGTTGAGAGAGAAGAAAGTCAGAAGCTGGTTAGGCAGACAGAGAGGGAGGGTCTCGAGGAGACTTAACACCTGCGAGAATGCTCCCTTCACCATCCCCGTTATGTAATTGTTGACTGAAGATGTGGTTAGTGTGGTCAAGAACATCCTGTCATCCCAGAGTGTACTGCTAAAAGACTTTTTGGGACTTAAACATAGGCACAGTAGCTTAACTAAATGTCCTAATTTGACCATGACTGATTATTATATCCTTAACATAGCATTTGCATTGCAGTTTTACTCCCAAGTGGGCTTTTCTTTTTTTTTTCTTTTTTTTTTGAGTTGGAGTCTCACTCTGTTGCCCAGACTGGAGTGCAGTGGCCGCTCCTGGCCACCACAGCCTCCACCTGCTGGGCTACAGCGATCCTTCCTCCTCAGCCTTCCAAGTAGCTGGAACTATACCTGGCTACCACACCTGGCTAATTTTTTGATTTATTGTAGAGGTGAGGTCTCGCCAAGTTGCCCAGGTGGGTCTCGAACCCACGGGCTCAGGCAATCCACTCACCTCAGCCTCCCAAAGCGCTGGAATTACAGGCTGAGCCACCAAGCCCGGCTACCAAGTGGGCTTTTCTGTGGGACTTATAGATAATATTCAAGATGGAGAACTTTGGTCAAGGACCCACATGTGCAATAAGAATTGTGTCTCAGAACCTGAGCAACTTGGTGAGACCTCAAGTCTACAATAAATAAAAAAATTAGCTGGGCATGGCGGCGCATGTCTGTAGTTCCAGCTACTTGAAAGGCTGAGGTGGAAGGATTGCCTGAGCCCAGAAGGTCGAGGCTATGGTGGCTGGGAGCATGCCACTGCACTCCAGCCTGGACGACAAATTGAGACTCCGACTCAAAAAAAAAAAAAAAAAAAAACTAGGACTCAGGAAGTAAGAGGCGGATGAGATGTAAATGACAGAAATACCCTCAGAAAATATATGATAAAAACCACAACAAAAACTCCTAACTCAGTCGTGCTCGGTGGCTCAGCCTGTAATCCCGCACCTTTGGGAGGCTGAGGTGAG